AGCCGCATGGTGACAATTATGTCAGATTTCCCCCAGAAAGCTATGCTGCTTCCACAAAATGGTAGATAATGGCGTTCAGCTCACAAATAAAAGTTATGTACCTCAATTCAGGAACAATAGGTGGCTTACTAAGGCAACAAAGAAAAATAATTATTACACAGTTCTTGACAGATGCCTCCAGTCAGAGCATCAAATACCCTGTTACCAGCAGCATAAACACTCTATTCATGATGACTGGGTCTACTTGTATACTTATTCCTTTCCAGGCTCTTAACCTACACATGTAACAAGTTTAAAATGAGAAGGCCTGGGTGTATAGCAACCAGAATTATTTTTTAAAAGAGAAATGAAAAAAAAAAAAAAGGGGGGCTGGTTTTCCAATAACCAGCTAGCAAAGTGCTAAAATTTATGTTGCCTAAATACATGATGGTCTACAATTTTCCTCCTTTTCCATGTGAATAAAATCCCATACATATACATATAAAGTTCAAACAGGAAGTTCAAAGTTTCATAAACTTAGTAAATTAAGTCAGGTTACACACATTACCTTAGTCTTCATTAAATTTTTTTTCTCTACTCATCTTGGAATTAAAAAGAAAGCATTAAAGGGGGGAAAAAAAGAACTTTTGTGTCTTCTCTGAGCAATGTATTATATCAAAGGAAGAAACTAATTATGTCTCTGTCCAAAGTAATTTTACCTGATTACACTACAACACAAAAGAAAATTAGGTTGAAATTTGAGGACTTAAAAACAACAAAGCCTTTGTCCACACACATGAAAAATTAAAATCAATACAAAACTAATCCACAGTCTGGGTAGCAGTTTACAGTCTGTTGTTATTATTAAGTGCCACTGAGTTGGTTCTGACTCATAGTGACTCTGGATAGAGTTTCTGACGAGCAACTGGTGGGTTTCAATTACTGACCTTGAGGTTAGCAGTCCGGTGCTTATCCTACAGCACCATACCAGGACTTGTTTAGTTTGTTGTTGTTATTAAGTGCCATTGAGTAGGTTCTGACTCATAGAGACCCTGTATAGTGACTGGTGGGTTTGAATTGCTGACCTAGAGGTTAGCAGTCCAGTGTTTATCCTACAGCATCACAAGGAGACTTGGTGGTGCAACATTTAAGTACTCAGTTTCTAACTGAAAGGCTGACAGTTCAAACCCACCCAGTGGTAACCAGTCCCTGTAAACGACTGCAGTCTAGGAAACCCTGTGGGACAATTCTATTCTGTCCTGAAGAGTCACCGAGTCCAAATCAAATCAACAGCACCTAATAACAGCTAGTATAGAGAAATGCAAAGAATTTCCACACAAAATTACTAATTTATCTTTTTTCTCAAGTCACATGTTTTCTTAGGATGAACGAGGCTTGAATGTTAGCTAAAAGGAAAAGACTAGAGCATTGGACAAATATATTCCACATTTAAAGGTCCCAGCTTTGGTAGAGGGATGCTCAAAAGCAAACTGGTATTAATTAAGGTTCAGTTACCCTTGTTCAGATGTGAGATTTAAAAAAAAACTCTTTTGATATGAGAAGAAAAATAAACCACCTCAAGGAAAAAAAAAAAAAAAAGTTTTCTTAGTGAGCTATTGTTTCCTACATAAAAACTTGTATTTTGATTGCTTGACATTTGGTATACTGAATAATATTCTACATCACAATGAGAATTAAAAAAAGATCTATTTCTGTCTCAAAGATTAGTAGTAGAAGTATCTCAAATATAGTAGATATATTTTACAAAATATTTTAAATCTAATGGAATTTTACCCTCCAAAAATGGAAAACAAAGAACATAGAACATTGAATAAGTGTGTACACCAATTTCCTGATGAGTAATTAAATTCCTCTCATCTTAAAAATAGCGTCATTGCTCACTCTTCCAAATCCCTTAAATATCAGTATTTTATATTAAGCTAATTCTTAGAAAAACTAAAAGCTTTGAGCAAAAAGTCAACTTTAGAAAGTTTGTATCAAATAGTGAAAATGGTGTAAAAACCAACTTATAAATTAGGTGATTAACCAAAAGTTTACTGTTATAATTTAGAGATACAAAATTTTTTGTTCTCACTAAATGAGAGAGAAAAGAGAGAAAAAACAACAACAACAACCAAGTAACTTTAGAACTCATTCCAGGATTATCCTTTCCTCAAAAAGGGGACATAACCCCAAATAAAACAGCAGTAAAATAGGAAGATCACTAATATTGAACTCTATTTAAAGAAAATAGGTTAAAAAAAAATCTGGTTTTTAATCACATAATGTTTCTTGAAAGTTTTGGCAATCATGAACTAAACTAAAAACATTGACATGCAAATTATGTAAAAGATACTAATGCACATTGGAGCCCTGTACAATAATAAAAAAGGTTAAGGAAGGAATCAAAACAAATAGTTCCCAACTGTCAAAATTTTTTTAAAAAAAAAAGAGAGCGAGAGTGAGACAGAGAGAAATGCACAGTTGATTTAAAGAAAATCTTTTTTTTTTTTTTTTTTAAGGTGGAACAATTTAAGTCAAATTATTAAAATTATTAAGACATGACTCTTATAATCAACATTGTTTCCTTTGATGCAATTATTAAAACTGTGGTGTGATTTTTAGAAGATGACCACTTTTAGGGCTCCTAATTCATAAATTCACTAGTTGAAGGATTAGGTAGCAACATTCAGCTCATTTTGAGATAAATGTCATTAATTGTTCCTCAAGATCAAGAATTAGTCTATGCTGATACAAAATCTAATTTTGCAAAATTTGAGATCTGGCTTTTGATAGTTTGTGAACTTGTTATTTTATTGTTTTACTAAGATTAATTCTAGCCCTTCTGATTGCATCATCTGAAGTTCAAATAGGTTTTCTATGTGGGGAAATAAATGATCTTTAATCTAAGACTGAGTATTTTCTCCTTACCTACTCACGTAGGCAATGACCATAAAAGGATTGGAGTCATTTCACAGGAAACAAACAGCAACGGAGCATAATTCCTTTGACAAGTTTAAACAAATTATATAGATTTACATATATACATTCATATACACGTAAGGATATATATGAGTATGTATATCATCTATAAATATAAAATATTCCATTTTAGGGGTATAAAGGACGTGACACTTTAATGACATACAAATTTATCAATATGATACAGATACAGATTTAATACAATAATAGTATCAGGGAAACACATTTCAAAATGGTCAATTTAGAAAGGTTGTGCAAGGGTTCAATCATTTGACAAATGTGCAGTTTTTAAATAGGAGATTTTACTTAGGTGTGAAAAGTTAACGTTAGGCACATTGGGAACTGAACCCCAAAACTTTAAAATTAGAAAAAGGAAAGTTAATAGATTTTGGAGTAGAACTGCAATGAGATCTTGTATGAGAGCTCCTTATTTACTTCCTTGGTTTTCATTCCTCTAATTTAATACTATGATACACTCTGATCCGCTTCGGCATCTCCTGTCACCTCAAAAGTCACTTCAAACCCGTGCTGTTCAATGCAGGAGCTCTGGTGCTGTTGTGGGCTAAGTGATGGGCAGCTAACGGTCACGCTGGCAGTTCAAACCCACCAGTCGCTCCAGGGTAGAAACTATATAGGGTCACTAAGAGTTAGAATTGACTCGATGGCAGTGGGGTTTTGTTTTCTGTGTTGTCCAATACAGTAGCTACCTGCCACATATGCTGATTGAGTTCTTAGAAGCTGGTCATTGGCCACATGTTAAAACAGTAATATTTTGGATATATTGTGTTAAATAATGTATATTACTAAAAGTAATTTCCCCTGCTCCTTTTTTCTTTCTACTGTGCGGGTAGAAAGATTGCTGCTTCTAAATATTGAGATGAAATGTATGATCTTAGGAGTTTCACACCAAAGGTGAAAATATTCTTAAGGATTAAAAAAATATGCTCAACTTGAAAATTAAATCTAAGTGGTTGTTCTTACCTAACCCAATTGCAAATCTGAGTTATCTATTTCCCTGAATATACATTTTAAAAGCCAGTAAAATTTAAGTTAAGAGACAACATGAATTAAGTCAATTTCACAGTTACAGCTTCACACTATAAATTACAGGAAATAAAATTCAAGTAATAGAAAAAGAAGGGAAAAATAAAAGGTAGTTATTAAAGAGGGCTATAATAGTAAGAATTGCACCATTTGGATACGTTTGTTTGAAAATATTTTTACTTGATTAACTGAACTGTATATGAATAACTCCAAGAGCTAAGAACTCTTCCAAGAAAAGCAAATCTTTTCTTTAAATCCATCTTCTCCTTCTTCTAAAAGCAAAAGCATCTTCTTCAGTTCTAGCAGAGTCTGCTTCCCTTCCCAGTGGAGAGCAGCAGGCCATTGGCGTGCACTGCATTACATCTGAGCAGATCTGCAGTGTGGACACCAGACCAAGTCACTGATCATGAGCAGTGAAGCTATGTCTATCTTGAGACTTACTACTCATCTTAATGAAAGCATCCAAGGAACTCGCATGGACACAGATCAAAACACAAGAATGAGCAACACATGTCCTGCTACCTATCTTTACATAGGAAGGGAAGAGAAGGGGTTAATTCCAAAGGCAATTTAAATAACGGTACTTTATTTTCATATATAAATAAATGTTCTGAGCAATCTCAGACTTTAGTGCATTGCTGTAAAAAATTAGTGCAGTTTTCTTTTTCATTAAAGATTTTAGCGCTCAAGGAATAAGATATATTCTATGTCTTTTCGTAGTCTCTTTCGTGTACATTTAACGTTTATACTGTAATATATCAAACTGAAGGTTTGTACACTGGTTTGCTTTTTAAAATTAAGGTCAATGGATTTTATGTTCTATGACAAAACATGGCAAGTATTTTTGGCAAAGAAATTAGAAAAATAGGAGATCACAGTTTAGAAATGAAGTTTGTTGATTTAAAGCATGGGCAATGCATAGGAAAAACCTTTCTTAATGTATTTTAACAGAACTGCATCCTTCATGCTAAATGTTTTCTCAGTAGCTAACTTAAAAAAAAATATTTCTGCTTTATTTGGGGATGAAGACAGTGACAGAAGTCATGGTGAAGGGTGAAGGAGAGGCGCTTTCCCAAGCCCACTCTATTTCCAAGTCTCTCCCACATCAGATCAAAGTGATGCCTGCTGGCATCTTCTGCTCTCTCCTCTTTCTTCCTGTCTTGGAATTCAGAGGGAAATAATGTAGTTATAAAATACTTGCTCACACTTCAGCTCCAAGTTCTAGTACCCCAGTTTCAATTACAGTCACATATTTATCATCAATCTGGACCAGCAGTACTGTCTTGTCGATGTGGGATCTAGTACCTGGATCTCTGCTGCAAGGCACCCATCGGTGAATCACCTAATGATTTAGAATAAAGTAAGTTAGTGGCAGAGACCTTTAATATACTCACAAACTCTCAGACCTCATTTAGGATTAGCAGTGGGTACAAGGAAGCACAACTGGAAGGTTGATTAGTATTAACCCAAAGAGCACTTTTTAAAGTCAAACTCACTAAAGCTGAGTTTTTAAAAAAATCCTGTTAAAAATTGTATAGAAAACCTAAATGAGGAAAAGTGGGGTTGGTGGGAGAGGAGTTGATAACTTATTCCCGTAAAGTCAAAATGGATTTATACGTAACAAGCAGAGCAGAACAGAATCTCCAAAATATAAAACTGGACATTCATTCCAAAAGTCTACTGACTTCAGAATCTATTCATCATTAGAATAACAATCTAATACTAAAAATATAAATTATTACTTGCCCTGTAAATCCCTTCTTTATATATATGTTAGGAATATAAACATATTTAAAATGAACATAAAAACCTTCCTTGTAGGCATTTATGGTGGTGGTGGTGGTTTTGTGCCGTGGAGTCGGTTCCGACTCATAGTGACACTGTACAGGGTTTCTGAGGCTGTAAATCTTTATGGGAGCAGAAAGCCTCATCTTTTCCCCATGGAACTGCTGGTAGTTTTGAACTGCTGACCTTGAGTTTAGCAGCCCAACTTGTAACCACTACTCTACCAGAGCTCCTTTGTAGGCATTTACAGGTGCTGTTAATTCATGTATTAAAAACTAAAGATTCTTTATCTGGATAGTGGGGGAAAGAGAAGAGGGGAAGTGGGAAGTAAAATCTTGCTTGCATTTATACTAAAAGATTTCTCTAAGGACAAATGTATTTGCTAGGTGCATCTGATAAGAAGTAACCTACCCTTGTTATTTCCACGTGATTGCCACAGACTTTTCTTTTTGGGACTCATGCTACCTGGGAGCACATCTTTGCATGTCAAGCATTTCTAAACTTTCTGATAACAGAAATGTTTTTTTTTTCTGTCCAATATGGTAAGCACATGTGGCTAGTGGGTCTAAGGAAATGAAGTGCAAATTTTATTTAAATTTAAATAGCCTTATGTGGCTAAAGACTACCTTACTGAACAGCACAGGGTTTAGGGACTCATATCCAGTGGCTTAATTTCCAGACTTCGACATATCTAAAGGAATAATCAAAAGTTATTCATCCATGTGAATTCAATGGTGTCAAGACACTGGACAATTTTTACACTTTTGTTTGTAAGACAGAGTATTTGAGAATGTAAGGGAGCTTTTTCACCCATTCTTCAGGTGGATAAGGGCAAAGTAAGTGAAATTCAGGACTATCAAAATTTGGTTTCAATAAAGTAACAGTGATTTGTGAAGAGGGGTAACACTTTCTTTAGCAAAGGGAGTCACACTGGGCGTAATCATCTCTTCTACATGGAGGGCTAGTGTTCACTGTAGGGGATATAAACTAGTGAGAATAATAATGATGAATCTTGAAGACATAAGCAAAAGATACTTAGTTTAGTAATCAAAAACTAAGGCTATGTGGTTGTCACTGTTAGGTGCCATGGAGTCAGTTCTGACTCATAGCAACCCTGTTAGGGTTTCCAAGGAGAGGCTGGTGGGCTTGAAACACTGACCTTGTGGTTAGCAGTCTAGTTCTTATCCTACACCACCATACCAGAGGCTACAGCTATGTAATAATAATTTCTGAAAACCGATTTTAAAAAAACAAACTAAAAACGAAGGCCAATATGAAACTGATTTGAGAATAAGTATGAAGGGGCTAAAAAGAGTTTGTGGAAAAACTGAATTACAAAATAATGACATTTTTCCATGAACTCTTTGAAGCCCTGGTGGTGCAGTGGTTAAGAGTTTCGCTGCAAACCAAAAGGACAGTGATTGGAATCCACCATTTGTTCCGAGGGATAAAGACACGGCAGTTTACTTCTGTAAAGATTTAGTCTTGGAAACCCTATGGAGCAGTTCTACTCTGTCCTATTGCTGTGACTGATAAGTGATGTCCAGTCGGTTCTAACTCACAGAAACCCTATATAGGGTTTCTGAAGAGCAGTTGGTGAGCTTTAACTGCCGAGCTTGCGGCTCTAACTAACCTTGAGGTCCAGTGCTTACCCTATAGCGCCACACTAGGACTCCACTCTGACCTACAGGGTGACTGAGAGTTGAAATCACTTCAGTGGCAGGAGGTGTGGTTTGGTTTTATGTATAAATTCATGGGGAATTCAATTTATATATATTTGGAGTTAGTTCTCAAGTTTTATCAACTTTAATCCTAGCCTTCCCTATTTAAAAAAAGACCTGTTTATTTTAAAAAGTCACATTGTTATAAACGTATAGACTCAATGGGCACAAGGCAGCAACATACATGAATGATCTAAATTCATGCTTATAAGTGGGTCACATTTTATAAGGACGTCAGAGGACCAGGCAGCTGACTTCCTAAGAGAACTTACATGGCCTTCCATGCCTTCCTGAGGACTCCAGTCTTTCCAGCTGTTTCGCCCAGCTTTTAACCGAATTCCTTCGTCGGGCCACTGCAGCTCTTTCCTTTTTGACAGGTTGATTCCATCCAGAATTTGACTGGGATCCACAATCTATATTGCACATAAATATGGGCCACATTATTTTTTATGATAATCAAGAACCATTCAATTATGAACAAAATTTCTTATGATTACTTCATAGGACTCTGTGTCTTAAGTTCTCCACTATCTATAGGGAATAAAAAAAAATCTAAAGAGCCCCCTCCTCTCCCAAATTCTAGTCTATTGGTAGACCTTATTGCAGTGGTCATGTGACAATAGCTGAATAAGGAACAAATACCACTCGTGTAGAACCTACTTGCTTTTGATTTTTAAGCTGGCGGAAACTTTGTTTTCAACATTCAAAGTGTTCAGTTCTTCAAGAACCCTTATTCCATAAGCAACAGAAATGAAAACAAATGGCACACCAGAACCAGTACAGGAAGACTTCTGGGGTTTACTCACTTGGACTCTGTAAATCACTTCCCCCTTTTTGGCATGTGAATTATTGGCAGGACTGTTGCCTGGCTGTGCATCAGTGGCACCATTCTGACCTCCATCTGTCCCAAGAAAGCCCACAAGAGCATGGTGTTTGCAGGCTGGGATGCTTTGGCTGGAGCTGCTGGAAGAAGGTAGGCCGTGCTGCACACAGGCCATGCCACTCTGTCCGCAGGGTTCCATCTGGTTCACCATGGAGAGGCGGGACTGGATGGATGAAGGTAAGTTTCGAAGTGATATCTGACTGGTGGAAGAGCGCCGGCAAGGCACAAATCCAGTAGTGGACATCCGGAGAGATGAATGCCGGCTACTATAGCAGTAAGAGGACTGGCTGGCTACCGAGGCTCGCGCAGGGGACTGTCTGACCAGACTTGACTGGACAGAGTGAGAGCTGTGGCTAGTGCCTAGAGATGGAGAAATAACAACAGCACATGCTCACTGTAAGTGGGATGCTTCCAATATGAGTCTGAGACTTTCACCCTTAAGCAATTTCTTAGTGAATTTATAAAAGATAGCATTTATATTGAAAACTTTTACTCAGGGTCGCTGTGAGTCGAAATCCACTCAACAACATTTAACAACAACAACAATTATTTAATTATGTACATGCTTCATTTGTAAGTACATTAAATTTCTGGTAACCTGTTTTTGTTCTAAAGTAATTTTTTATTGTATTTTCAATGCAACTTTATGTAGTAAATCAGGCTCCCATTCAACAACAATACTTACAAGTTCTGAGATGCTGTTTACGTTTCCCACAAAGTGTTAACATTCTCATTAATTCATTTCTGGATGTTCTGCTTCTAGTAATCTGGTTTCTCTGTCCCCTTCTCTTTAATTTAATTAACTTTAAGCTTTAAAGTTACTGTTGTCAATTTGGTTATACCCAAAACCTTTTAAAGCTGTGAAAAAGTAATACATACCTGAAACTTTACTCCTTATATTTTATAATATAATTTTTATTTGGTGAAGCTTTTTAAAAATTTACATCTCAGGGCACAAGAAAATACTAATCAAGTAATTTACAGCAAACATCAGAACTTACGTTTGAAATAATTCCTAAATTATCTTTCATAGGAATATTAAAAAATAAACAAGACTACCTCTTTTAAAAAATCCTGAAAGCAGCTCATGAAAAATCAAAAGTTACCTACAAAGAAGAATCAGTATGACTCAACTCTGATTTCTCAACAATAATCATGCAAGTAAAAAGGCAACAGGATGACATACATAAGACTGAAAGAAAAATACTGCCTACCAAAAGTCATATATCCAGAAAAATTGTCACTCAAATACAATGGTGGAATTAGGGTATTTCCATATATAAAGAAATGAAAGGAATTTGTAAAAATGAGACCAACTTGACAAAAAGTACTAAATGGAGTTCTTTGAACAAAGAACCAACAGCTAACAACAACCTAAGATTAACATATGTGACTACACCAACCAGAAGGCAACCCAGACACAGAAGTATCCAAAGTAAAACAAAATTACAAGACTGTAAACAGGGAACCAGAGATATCAATCTATAAACGGAAACGTTGGGGAAAAAAAAAAAGGCGAGGGGGAGGGGAGGAATAGTGCAGTTAAAGAAACTCCAAATGGAGATGAAATTAAGTGCATTTCAAGATAGAACAGACTGTTTTTAAACTTGGGAAGAAATTAATAACATACAGATATCAAAGAAAATAAACCTGCCTCTCAAAACAAAAAGGAAAATCATAAAAATTTAGCAAACATTAAAATAACAGTAATGAAGAAATTGACAAGAAAATGCACAACAAAATGAACACAGCACAGAGAATTATGTGGAACAAAAAACCCAGCAGTACCACAAAAAAAACACATATACAGCTAATTGACAGCAATCAATTCACGATGGTGATGGTGGTGGTGGTGGTAATGGTGTGCCATGGAGTCAGTTCTGACTCACAGTGACCCTGCATAGGGTTTCCGAGGCTGTAAATCTTTATGGGAGCAGAATACCTCATCTTTCTCCCATGGAACAGCTGGTAGTTTCAAACTACTGACCTTAAGGTTAGCAGCCCAATTCGTAACCATACCTATCAATAAATACACTGAATGTAAATGGATTAAATGTTCTAGTCAAGAGACAGATTAGTAGAATGGATAAGAAAACAGGACCCATCAACATGTTGTCTACAATAGGCACACCTTACACACAAAGACAAAAATAGACTTAAAATCAAGGGATTGAAAAAAAAAATCAATCTAATGGCAATCAAAAAAGAAAAGGAGTGTCAATATTAGTCTATGATAAAACAGACTTTAAGGCAAAAATCAGCAGAAGAGACAAAGAAGGATATTACATAATGATGAAAGGGTCAATTGAATAAGTGAACATGGTCACAATAAATCTCTATGCATCCAATGAAAGAGCCTCAAAAGAAACAAATCAAACTCTAACAGAACTGAAGAGAGAAACAGACAATTCTACAATAATAGGAGATTTAATTCCACCACTTTCAATGAAGGACAGAGTAACTAGAAAGAAGCTCAACAAAGACATAGAACTCAACAACACAATCAGCCAACTTGACTTCGGACATACAGAGCACTCAACCCAACAAAAGCACAACATACATTCTTTTCTAGTTCAGCATTGATGTTTCTGTTGTGAAGTGCCGTTGAGTCAGTTCCGACTCATAGAGACCCTGTAGTGTTTCTGAGGAGCAGCTGGTGAGCTTGAAGCGCCGACTTTGTGGTTCAAACCGACCTTGTAGTCCAGCGCATTAACCCGCACTGCCACACAAAGTTAAAAAAAAAACCCAAACAAACCCCAGAACAGAGGGTTATGGAAAGACTGGAACCCTCATATACTGCTGACAGGACTGTGAAATGGGCAAAGACTGTGAAAATCAGGATGGAGCTTCCTCAAAAAGTTGGAAACTGAAATGTCATTTGACCCAGCAATCCCTCTACTTGGTATATATCCTAGAGAAATTAGACCCATGACAGAAATAGATATATGCATACCCGCACTGCAGTATAATTCAAATTAGTAAAAAGAAATAATCTAAATACCCATTAATGGAAGGACAGGTAAACATACGTTAGTACACATATACAATGAAATACTACACAACATAAAAGAATAATGACAAATCTGTGAAGTGCTTCATAACATGGATCAATCTGGAAGACATTATGCTGAGTGAAATTACTTAATCATAAGAGGTCAATATTGTATGAGACCAATACTGTAAAAAGTCAAGAAAAGACTTCCAAACTTAAACATTCTTTGATGGTTACCAGGGGTGAGAGGGCAAGAGAAGGCAACAGAAGTACATACAGTTATATATGCAATCTTGCAATAACAGTGATCTATAGGTGATGTTGTTAGGTGCCATTGAATTGGTACTGACTCATAGCAACCTTATGTACAACAGAACAAAACATTGCCTGGTTCTATGCCAGCTTCACAATTGTTGCTATATTTGAGCCCATTGCTGCTGCCACTGTGTCAATTCATCTCGTTTGGAGTCTTCCTCTTTTTCACTGATCCTCCACTTTACTAGGCAGACCTACAGGTAGATGTGTGGGTATACACTCAGACTGATCGTAGGAGATAGAGTGAGAGAATAACCAGGGATCTATATAGAGATTAGTGAACATTTGTACATGGCTATGTACCTTTGCTGTAAATATATTGGTGAATGTGGTGGAACATATAGGTGGTAAAAATATGTAAGTTTCTTGGACATTACCAAACACCTTGAGGAAATGAATTGCTGGCCCAAGGGGCTCAGGACCATAGTCTCTGGGAGCATCATGGTCAATTGGCATAATGTAGTTTACAAAGACAATGTTTTTTTTTTAACCCACTGTCCTTTAAACTCCTACCCAACAACTTTTTCCTGATGGGTCTGGGTAAGATGAGGTAGGAGAAGATGCTGATTTGTTGTTGTTGATAGGTGCCATCGAGCTGATACCGACTCATAGCAACCTTATGCATAGCACAACAAAACACTGCCCAATCCTGGGCCAACATCACTATTGTTGCTACGCTTGAGCCCACTGATGCTGCCACTTTGCCAATCCATCTCACTGGGGGTCTTCCTCTTTTTCTCTGACCCTCCACCCTACCAAACTAAGATGTTGATGGGATGACTGAATTCAATTTTGATTGTTAACAGAGACAATTGAGATCATAAAAACTTGGAGCTCTAACATGTATAAAATGAATCATTTCAGAAACAGGAATGGGAGATCTCACAACCATCAGAGAACAGCCAGGAGTGGAGTGCATGCATCCTTTGGACTCTGAGATCTCTGCACAGTGAACCTTCTCCACCCAGGGATACACAGCTGTGACAACACAGAAGAACAGGGGAGTGGCAGAGCAGTAGCAGCAGAAACAAGAGCCAGAACACCAGGCAGAGTGGTGGGCTTCCCAGCTCATGGAGCAAGTAAAGTTGAGTGGCACTTAACTAGGGGAGCTAGGTTTGCTGACACACAGAGCTATAGTCAAGTGCCTTCATGCTGAGACTTCTTATGGTAGAATAGTAGACATTTATCAGCAGCTCTAAAAGAGCTTTGTAACATGGCCAAGGCCAAGAGAGGCCTGTCTGTGGGCATGGCTGAAGCAGGCTGTCCTGACTAGAACAGCTGTGTCCTGAGCATTTCTAACCCTGAATTATAACCCATTAATTTTCCTAATAAACCCCATAACCGTGAGCATGGCATCTGAGTTCTATGTGGTTGGTCCTATTTTTTGGCATCTACATCCTACTTTGGTGAGTAGTGGCTGTAGTCTTAAACGCAACCATTGGTCTCTGTCTGGAAGAAAGAAGAGTGATGAAAATCAAAGATGACTGGACAAAATTACTCCACTGGACAAATGGACCACTTGAACATCAGTCTCCACAAACCTGAGACCAGAAGAACTAGATGGTGCCTGGCTACCACTATTAACTTCTCTGAAAAGGAACACAGTAGAGGATCCTGAATATAGTGGGAGAAAAATGTGGACTAAAACTCAATCATAATAAAGGAAGCAAGTGTAAATTGCTACAATTTGATGAACTTGACCTATACTTATGGATGTAGTAGCTCAAAATAACAACTGAGAGGGAAGGAGTCTTCAAATCAAGGATCAAGCCAAGCCTATCCCCTCTGTACACAGGGTTGATAGGGATGGGCAACACTGGCTACCTAAATGGGGGCTATAAAGAGATGAAGTAGCTGGCTTACAAGTTTTCAAGAGAGAGTTTAGATTCAGTGTGTGGGGAAAGGTAGAATTCCCACTGAACAGCTTTCATCTTGTCTAGACAGGTCTGGTGAAAGGAGATGGGGATAGGATTCATTTGGTTCTATACTGAGTAACTGTTATCATGACTAATTGCAATGATCAAAACTGTACAGGAAGAAGTTGTATAACAGACTGGGGGGAGTAGCTAACCTTACAGTCCAGGAACAGAGGACCCTAGGACCACCAAGAGAGGAGAGCATTAGTGGACCATGGGACCTTATCCAGAGAAGCAGCAACACCAGAGATGGAGGCAGAGATGAGAGAGAGACATGGAGAGAGAGACAGCAGCTGAGGACTCTAGATTCATGGAAAGAGAAAAGCTGTATGCTGGTGGCCAGGAGACTGGCTTGCAGAATGTACCCTTTTTTAAAAAAAACAACTAATATATATCTGTGTGCTATTTGTGTACATCCAAAAAAAACAACAACAGAGGGAATAGAAGCAAATACTGGTAACAGATTATGCATTGAGGGGATTGTAATCATTGTAATATCCATGTTCTCCCATGTAAATTATCACTCAATTCACAATAAAAGCTTTTTTTTTTAAATGAAAAACAAAAACAAAACACCAAAAACCCAAATAACTCAATCATAAAAACAACCAGGCTTACTGGTGGGACACAGACTGGTGGAACCTGGCCCTTAGTCACCCTCCAGGTCTGAAAATGAGTAATTTCTAGCCAAACAATAGGTCCATAAGGGGAACAATGATGCTAGTGAGAAACTCACGCCTTAGAGTAATCAACCATTTGAGATTTAGGAAAGGAGGATGGGAACATGAGACACACACGGGGGAGACTGCAGTCAATGAGATGCAACAAAATGTGTATGAATTGTCAAATGTAAAATTGATATGCTCTGTAAACCTTCATCAAATTCACAATAAACAGCTAAAAAAGAAAAAATCAACTTCTTCATACATGAACTGCAATGATTTCTTCTTAATTTTGTAATGGCATTTTAACTTTGTGATATTTCATAAAACATTTCACGTTTGGGTTATTTTATATTAAGGAACAAATTCTCTACTACAATATTATTTCTTATGGTATTACTGCCATTTCACTGCTGATAAGAGTGGATACTACATCATAATTTTCCTATTGTTGTTGTTGTTAACTACCGTCGAGTCGATTCCAACCCATAGTTACCCTGTATAGGCTTTCCAAAGAGCAGCTGGAGAGCTAGAGCCACCAAACTTGCAGTTTAAATGACTTTGCTTTCTGACGCATTAGCCCACAGCGCCACATCAGGACTCCAATTTTCCTATACAATAAGGAATTATTAGTAAATATGGATTATTAGTGATACTGGTATTGCACTGTAGGATAGGAACTGAACTACTAACCACAAGGTCAATGGTTCAAATATACTAGTTGCTCTTTGGAAATTCTACACAGGATCGCTATGAGGAAGAACATACTCAATAGCACTTAACAGCAAAAAAACGATCTATGCTAGTAAAAAGCAGGTTCTTCTGCATTCTTTAACAGTTGTTTGATATGACTCTTCAGGTTCATATTCAGGGTTACTAGGACTAAGAGTAATTAAGGTAAGAGTTACTACAAAAAGCCTGTTAGGTATACTGAAAACCTAGCTAAGAGGTTAGCACTGATCACATAGTTTTGTTTCCTGTTACCTAATGCTGGAGGATGAGCTGTGACAGGTGGATGGAGCCCTGCTCCTGATTCTTGTCCTGCGTGTCCAGTGCTTCCTTGGGACACGTTGCTGTGGGGATCATTGGCAGTGGTTGCATTGTGACTAGTGCAGGAAGTTCCACCTCCGGTATCTGAATCTTCAATATTGCCACCACTGTTACAACCAGCTCCACACCCTTTCCTTAACCTAGGAACAAAAACCACAGCAGAGAAACATGAGTCTCAAGGCTTCCTTAAGGTAGGTACTTTATCCTCTCCCCAGCTACTCTGAACAGATGATGTCACCAATACCACTCTTGAACATCTTTGAGGTATAAACAATACTAGGAATCAGTATTGCTATGTTTTCAAACAATGACCTAAGAACTATAGAATTCTTGCCCAGGTCTTTTCTAAGTTTCTGAAAGATGCAACCACGGAGCCCTAATTCACTTATATTGTTATGGTTCTGCACTTGGAGAAAGATACTAAAATTACTTTTTCACTTTACTTTTATTTTTTAATCTCTATGTAGGATGACCAATTATCCCAGTTTCTCATAACTGTCCCAGTTTGACATTGAAAGTTCCATGTACCAAAAAAGTCCTTAGTCAACAAACTCTTCAGGACAGTTGGGTATCCAGTCTCTATACTATTTTCTTAAAGAGCAATAACTTAATCTTCTCAAGGTAATTCCAACGTAATAGATATCTTTTTGAAAAGAAAATGCTTTGAACACAACTCTTCTGTTTAAGGGGAACTGATGCTAAAATGGTGAAGCTTTGCTTATTATGTGTTGGGTATTCCCAGGCAGACGTGGCATGTAGGATCAGCACTGGAAGGTGGTGGTTCAAACCTGCCAGCTGCTCCACAGAAACCCTATACAGGGTCGCTAAGATTTTCTGATTTGGAACCGACTCAATGGCACTTAGCAGCAACAACATTTAAGAGAGCTAATTGCTCTCATCATTAGGTCTGATAACTCTAACAAGATTCTGACTTTTCTCATTTCTCATGGTTTCTATTTTAAGAATCTGAAAAATTCTCAGGAAAAAAACAATTTTCTGTGGTTTTTCATCACTATCCACCAAACCATGATGTTCCTACACAATATAAAAAGCAGAGAAAAAAATTCATGCGCATACTTTAAACACTATCTATTTGTGACTGGGGTGATGAATGAACTGCTAAGAGGACAGTAGTATCACTGCATGATACAGCAAGGAGATTCAGTAAGCATAGAGCGCTACAACAAAGTGATAAAATAGGAGGAAGTAATCCACTCTGACAAGTTTCTTGTTTTTCTCTTAACTTGCTCTGTTTGTTGGCTCATGTACTCAGGCCAAAAAGCGAAGAAGAGTAAAGCACTCACAATCAGCTACTGGTCACTATTAAATACCTACCAGTTACAATATCATGATTTTTCAGCCTAGTAATCAAAAAGCAACCCTGGTATAGTAGTGGATTACGCGCTGGGCTGCTAACCATACAATCAAAAGTTCGCATCCACTGGCTGCTCCACAGGAGAAAGATGCGGTTTTAAGCTCCCATAAAGACTGACAGCCTCAGAAACCCTATACGGGATCTCTAGGAGTCGGAACCAATTCCACAGTACACAGCAGCAGCAGCAGCAGTAATCAAAACAAAGTTTTAAAAAAGTAAACAAAAAGGAACTATTTAAAATTCTACCAAATGCTAGAGCAATGGTTCCTACAGAGTTGTGCATTAGATTTATTTAAGTCTGAAGATAAAATGCACAGGCTCTACTTCCTGAAATCAGATGTGGTAGGTTTATAATGTGACACAGCATTGGTGGTCTTTCTATGAGTGAATGCACACCACCTGGATTAAGGTCAGGATATAACACCAACAAGAACTGCAATCCTATGGGTCACCTGTGCCAGGTGGATACGATGAAGCTTCTGATGTTTCCCAAGCTGATAGGTCCCCCAAGAATTTCTTTAAGCTGTTCATGGCTGTCAGAGTAAGAAGTTGTCAGGGGTGAGACAAAGATTGGGTAGCCAATAGGTTGATCACAAGATGAGTTTATCATGTTTCTCAGAGCTTGCTTTGCATTTTGGATGCTACCTCTTTCTGGGTTACGGTTACGTAGGAAAACAAGCTCCTGCTGTTGCCCTGCCCAAAGCCCTCGGACACATTCCTTGTTCACCTGAAAAGCAGAACACACAGGAATGAAGTTAAAAGGTCAAGAATAAAATTCATAGGAACAAAGACTAGAAATGGTAGGGATAAAAATTCATTTTGATAACAAGTAGGAGACAAAGATAAGCCTTTTCCTTTGTCATTATCAGGTTGTTAGATAGTAAGTGCCCACAAGGCTCTTTCCTTCACTCTGCTGTAGAATATTAATTAAATCTGTGAGCTCATATTATTTTTCAAATGGGAGAAGCACTACATTTTTGTAATTTAGCCAATAGATATTTTTGATAGAAATTAGGGTAGCAAATATTTATACTTGAAACAAGGCTTTTGACATTTATGGGTTGATTATATGACAAAGATTAAAAAGTAGGCCATTCCCCCTGAATAGTTTTCATCTTGTCTAGATGGGTTTGGCAAAAGGAGATGAGGACAGGATTCTTTTGATTCAACAGTGAGTAATTGTTATCATGACTACTTGTAATGGTCACAGCTGTAAAGGTAGAAGTTTTATAACACAAAGCGGGGAGCAGTTACTCTTACATTCCAGGAACATCTTATGTTAGAAATCTTACATTCTAGGACCATCAAGGGAGCATGAGTGGAATGTGGGACCCTAACCAGAGAAGCAGAAATACCAGAGATGGAGGCAGAGGTGATGGCATAGACTCATGGAAAGAGAACAGCTGTGTGCTGGAGGCCAGGAGGCTGGCTTACCCTTTGGTTATTTAAACGATGATATATTGCTGAGTTTTTTGTGTACATCAAAAAAAAAAAAAACCCAACAAAAAACAGAGGGAGTGGAAGCAACTACTATTAACTGATGATGCATGGAGGGGATTATAATCATTGCAATGAAACAAAATACGATTGAGTGCAAAACCAATGTTCTCCCATGTAAACTATTACTCAATTTATAATAAAAGCTTTTTTTTTTTTTTTTAAAAAAAAAAAAGAGAGACTATTACAACTACTAAAGAAAAATGATTAAAAGTTCAGAGAGCAGTGGGGTATGTGTGTAAAATCTGAGATGTTTAAACAGCAGCAGTGGCAATAAGCAAACAGGAAAGTGAAGAGTGAACCACTAATTAGCATGAGCTCTGGAAGAACCTTGCAACCTAAGAATCACGTCATACTAGCAATACTGTAAGATGAGCTGCTGCCTAGATCTCCTATATACTGGAGAGCACACTGCCATATAATGCATCAAAGACTGCCAAAATTGAGAGAAGCAAAATTTCTAAGGCCTTACGGTATATGAGAAAAGTTCAGAATAAATTACTACTGGAAGAAGCCAAATTAGATGCTTCTAAACTACAAACCTAAGGAGCTCTGGTAGCGTGGTGGTTACGAATTGGGCTGAGAACCTTAAGGTCAGCAGTTCGAAACTACCAGCTGTTCCACAGGCGAAAGATGAGTCGTTCTGCTCCCGTTAAGATTTACAGCTTCAGAAACCCTATGCAGGGTCGCTAAGAGTCAGAACTGACTCCACGGCACATAACAACAACAACAACAAACAATGAACATCAATGTAGTATGTATGGTCATTATTTTCAGTAAAAACATTTAGTCACTTTTTAAGTTTGTATCAAGTTATGTAAACTCCACTTTTGCAGACACAGACAAAGGCCTCAGGAACGTACTTTAATGACTCTGAAGCTAAGGTAGCGTCTGTTGAGCATGATGATTTTATATTCATTGGTGCCATCATCCATGACATGCCGCAGAGCAAGCAAGGAAGGAGAGTTGGCGAGGACTGCACTCCGCCATGCAGGATCCCCTTCATGAGCTATTACGAGGTTTTTTTCATGAGACACAATGGCTTCATAGAGGACAGTGGGGTCGTCGTACTCATCTGGAGAAGTAAAGTGATCCTAAACACAAAAAAATAAGCACCGTTTTTAGGAAGCAGAGAACGACTTACAGGATGATTAAAACTTTCAGTTACTAAATGAAAAGTCTTAAACTGGGCTAATATGAATATTTCACACATGCTAACATTACTAGAGACAAATGACAGATCAGCAACCCTAACCAGGACGGAACTCTCTCCTCACTACTGTCGTAACTATACCTGTACATTCCTCAGTCCACCCTACTCTCCTCTAAGGTTTAGATAAACATAGATCTTGTTTAAGTCTTATACATCATGGCTTTTTCTTATTCAAGTTGGTTTTTCGTATCTTCCTTCTCACTCACACACACACAGTTGCTGTTGTTAAGTGTCAATGAGTCAGTATTCAATTCATAGAAACCATGTATAGGGTTTTCCAAGGAGCTGCTATGAGTTTGAACCACTGACCCTGAGGTTCAAACTGACTGTGCTCTAGACATGATTCCATTTTATCCTGTTTCTCACCTAATCATCTAAGGATGGTTTAGGGTACTAGTCTTATAGGAAGAAGCTCTAGGTGGTACATATGGTTAACGTATTTTCTTCTAATGGAAAGTTGGTGGTTTGAGTTTGCCCAGAAGTGCCTGGGAAGAATGGCACGGAAATCCATTTCTAAACAATCAGCCACTGAAATACCTATGTAGCACAGTTCTACTATGACACACATGAAGTTCCATGAATTGAACTAAATTGAACCGATGACACCTGGCAGTCCCAAACGAACCTACTAAGGTCTTTCCTGAAATATCTCTTGTTCATTTGACAAGTATTTATTAAACATCTTCCATGGACAGACATCTGTAGCAGGTTGTATGAAGAAAATAAGAGAGTACATGAAATATATTCCCTTTGTTGTTGCTGGTGTTAAGTGCCGTCAAGTCAGTTTCTACTCAAAGCCACACTATAATGTTTCTGAGGAGCGGCTGTTGGGTTTGAACCACCGACCCTGTGGTTAGCAGTCCAGTGCTTATTCTACAGTGAAATAGGTGCTAATCAACTGCTTTTGTTATTAGTCAGGCTACTACTAACTAAGTTAGCCTCAACAGCAGGCTATTAGTAACTGTTACACATGGATTTTCACTGCGTCGTGGTTGGTACCTGTAATCCCTGCATTGTTTGAGGGCCAACTGTACATTATACATCTACCCTTCTTACCTTTCTTTAAAAATACCTTTCTTTCCTAACCAGCAGATGTTGAGATGTCATATGGTATGTTCTCTACTAGTAAATCGTTACCTTTGCAAAGGAATGTCATTTTTTAATGTAGTAGTACTAGTACGGTTATTTGAATGAAAAACAAAACTCAAGACACAAGAAATAATCATCTTCCTAAAATGGACAAAAAGATGAAAATAATTAGGCATGGAAAAATGGGAGAATGTTTAATCCTGTTCTGATTTCTTTCTTTACACTGGGTGTAAGAGGGTTGAATGAATATGTAAGATTCTATGTACATCAGTGTAGCACTTTTTAATGACAAAATATTTTAAATAAGCAGAATGCCCATGAACAAGAAAATGGTTGAATAAACTATGATAAAAATTATGGACTCTGGAATACTTAACTCATTAAAATGTATGAGGTACCTTATATATACTGAGGGAAGATGTCCGGGTTATACTGAATGAAAGAACAAAAAGCAAGCATTGCAGATCCGTTTTGTGTAGCACAAGTAAGTTTTCAAAAAAAAAGTTACTGATATACATAAGTGGAAATATATGCATGAACTTGGGGGAGAAACCAGAAAAGGTATGCATCAAATTACTGTCAGTGATGAAACAGGGCGGTGGAAAGCTGATTAGTTTTAGGTAGTTTATTTTCCCACTATTTCCAGAAAATAAAAAGAAATAATGATCCCGTTCTTCTGGAAAAAGTTTCTAGATGCATTTTAGAAACATACTTTTGAAGTTACAAGCAGACACACAGGACATAATATTTTTCAAAAACAGTGGAGTGTGTTCATTAAGCAAACATTTATTGGCCAACAAGTACTGTGCTAAACAATTAAGAAATAAGGATTAGTAAGAAATTATTCCTGTCCTCAAAGAGATTACAGACCATAAAGCTTTCATTACACATCATTTGTAAACTGGCTTTTCACTGATTGGTTTAGTTCATCTCTAACAATCATGTGATTTCTCAAAGGAAAGGAAAAAAAGCAGAAGAGATGCTTTACAAAATGATTCAAAATAAGACAAGAGAAAACACAGGGAAAAAAAGCAATTTGCTAAATTCCTCCGAGTTCTGCTTAATTTTCATCTACAAAATGGGACTTCAGTTTAACTCTCTGGGTTGGCATGATATAATGTGATCATCAAAGCACTTCATACAACTGTAAATGTTGTATGAAAATAACAGTCTTAATTTCCAAAATGCAAGGACATACAATAATGTGCTTCAGACTGATATACTTTAGATATAAAATCTAAAGAAACTCATCAAATTTACATAGAATGCTTCCATATCAAATTATAATTAATTTACGGTATGTTGAGGATAGACAGAGGTAAAGGAAAGGAAAACACAAAACCTAAATTTAAAGTGTTAAAAACTTACCATCAGAGATTATATATGAAAGGCAAAAGGATAATAGAAAGTTTATATTTACAGTTCTCTCAGACTCAGAACATAATCTTTTTTTAAAGTTAAATTTGAGGTATAATTTGCATATAATAAACTGCACTTACGTTAAAATTGCACGCCTATATAACCACTGCCATAATCTAATAGAGAACATGTCCAGCACTCCAAAACATTCCTTCCTGCCCTTTGACATCAATCTCCACACACTGCTCCACGCTACTACTGATCTACCTTGTCACTATTAGTTCTTCTTGTTTAAAAATTTATATAAGTAAAAGCATACAGCATGTATCCTTCATCTGCACTGGTTCTGTATTCTAGGATTAAAAATATCTGGGGTGGAGTGGTATAGAGGGAGGAGGAGCAGCAATGTCTCAAAGGCCTTTTACATATAGCACTAACATTGTTTTAGGTATTGTAAGTGAGCTAGAGACAATTTAGAGGATACAGGGGGATGTGCATAGAGGGACCTGAGCATTTTGAGGATTTTGGTATACAGGGAGAGGGTGTGGAATATGGTCCTAGGCATAGTAAGGGATGATTGGTCTGTCTTTATGTTTGGCTTGTATTGATCTACCTGTCTGAGATTCATTCATGTGCTATAGAACAATAGCTGGTTTCTTTTCATTGCTGAGTACTATATCACATATGTTCAGTTGATGGGCATTAGAGCTGTTTCTAGACAGGAACTGCTTTGAACACTTGTGTGCAAGTTTTTGGGTGAACATATGCTTCAATTCTCTTGGATAAATATTTAAGAGTGGCATTGCTGCATCCTACGGCAAGTATTTGCATAGCTTTTCTTTTAATACTCAAGTCTACTATTCACTTTTATGGATCTGTCTTTTCCAGGAGTGAGAGTTCCTCATCCACAGTCAAATGTCCAGCTCAAAGTGATGCTCTTGCTACTCTGTAAGTCAATTTATATCCTCAACATGGGAGAAAGATGAGGCTGTCAGCTCCCCTAAAGATTTACACTCAGAAAACCTAAGGAGCAGTTCCACTGTGTCCTATAAGTCAGAATTGACTTGATGGCAGTGGGTGACTTGTTTGGGTATTTGCTACTTTGTAGGTCAATCTATATCCTCCTAGGGAGCATATCAGAATTATAGGAGGAACTTCTTCAGGTTGCCTTTATGCCTGTCTCCGCACTCCTTTCCTGCCCTATCTCCTCACTCTCCCACTGTTGCCACTGGTGTGAGTCTCAGCTAACAGTGGGAGTGTGCTGTATTCAGTGTGTTGTAGAGACTACTGGCATAGGCAATAATGCTGCAGCCCAAGAACGGATAAAGGGAATGGTCCTGGCAGCAATAGGACTTGTATGGAATGACTAGAGGCAGAGACTTAATACTGAACCCTGTGCCGGATGAGAGAGACAACATGTCAGAATGTTTGGAATAAATGAGAAGATGTCTGTCAGAAGCTGCCAGATAATTATGCCATATAAAAGAATACTTCTCTCACACAACAGATATATAATTAGAATCTTTTAAAATGTTTAGAAATTTTAGAACATTTTCATCTGAAATCATTATCTTTTTCATTTAAATTCATTACATTTTGTTTCAAGCTAGTCTAAAAAATGGAGTCCTGATGTGACACTGTAGGAGAAGCACTGGACCACAAGGTCATTTGAATTGCACTATCAGTGTTGAAATTCATCAGCTGCTCCTCAGAAACTCTCTATATAGGGTTGCTATGGGTTGGAACTGACTCTACTGCATTTAACAACAATTCTAAAACATTGGCAATTATATTTGATCCCAAATGAATATACTCCCAGTATCGGGCTGCGAACCTTAAGGTCAGCGGTTCGAAACTACCAGCCGCTCTGCGGGAGAAAGATGAGGCTTTCTACTCAAAGATTTGCACCCTCGGAAACCCTGTACAGGGTCGCTATGGGTCGGAACCGACTCGACGGCACTTAACAACAACAACAATCCTTAAGCTATATTCCATTTTCATACAGATGTTTAAATAATATAACTTTTATCAGTAATGCTATTAAAGAATTGGTTGTTGTTAAGTGTCACCGAGGCGGTTCTCACACATAGTGTCCCTGTATAGGGTTTCCAAGGAGAGGCTGGTGGGTTTGAACAACCAACCTTGTGGTTAGCAGTCCATGCTAATCCTATAGCACTTCATGGGAGTTTAACTAAACTCCAGTATTTCATATTCAAAAAGAATCAATCAGATTTGAGCACAGTAAATGCATCATAATGAGTCTTACAATCTTACATCTGATAATTATTTTCAAGTGGAATGATTAGAACAGCAGGTGCCAGTACTTAATTTAGCAACACATTCCTGAATGATCTAGGTCTTTGGAAATACCTTTTTAGGCCTCATTTTAATTTTATTAGACTCCTGGTGTGGCACTGTGGGTTCATGTGCTAG